ACATAAGCATGTACATACACTATCCTCATTTTGGCTGCCCAACCATCATTCACTCATTCAACCCACGAAACTACTTTATATCCGACTCTTTGAATCCAATTATTGTCCAACAGGTGATCCAACGACCCTGCCACACTAAACATAAGTGATGGAAATATTGGTAAAGGTGTCGTACAAAAATCATACAACGAGTGTCGTACATGTAGCAGCTTAGCCTTGTCTGAAACCGAAGCTAATCTCGCCATCTGCACTCACCGGTTATGTTTCTTTTGATAATTTCATCAATTGATTCATACTTCTTAATCTTCCTGTGTGTAGTATGGTGATTGATAAATAGTCAAAGAGTTCTTTTTCTGTAATAGATCTAGTTAAAACATGTATCAAATTTTGAATGGTTCACTGTGACATTTGCTAAACGAGATATCTTCTCGAACAGGACCGATGATGGCGTATTGAAGGTTTTCATGGATTTGAGAACATGTAAAATAGAGTGAGTATTGGATTGTTTGAGATATTTTGTAAGGTATTTTTAAATCTGCTAGTCATCTTGGACCTTTCCATTAACCAAAAATGATAAAGAAAATGAGTTGGATGAAATTCATATATGTTCGGCTGAAAAATAATTATACTTTTTATTATTATATAAGACCTTAGTTGAACTCTCTGCACTGATTTTTGTAGGTAAATTCCAAACCTATATGTTTGATTTTAACGCCATGAGACTTTATTAACCTTTTATTCTATAGTGGTTTTTGCAACAGATGGAGGCATAGTTTGGATAAATTTTGATGTTACTATTTTTCCATGTTCATATAATTGTGCATTGCAATGTGCCCCACATTGGTCCAATCCTAGACCCGTCAATGACCACAACTTCTACATCATCGTAATATGTAATTCCTCCGCTTTTAAAGTACTTCTAGGTCTCCTAGGTCAAACTTTTGGAAGTTTGACCATGTATGTGCATGTTGATATCTACAACATCAAATATATAATATGAAAATATGTGTTATGATGAATCTAATGAAACTAGTTTTGTGTAGTACATGGCTATCACAATATGTAATTTGATGTTGTAAATGTTGGTATATTTTCCAGTAGACTTGGTCATATTAAAAGATGTTTAAATCACGATAAATCAAGAACCTAAGGTTTCTTTTTTTGAAATTTGAACTTAAGCATTCTGGAACAGAGTAGTACTACCTCCGTCCTGGTTTATTGGTCTCCTTTGTAATTTGTGCCAAATTTTGACCAACGATTTAACTAACAAAATGTTAATGCATGTCAACAAAAATTACATCGTTTGATTCGTATTTGAACACAGTTTTCAATGATATATTTTTAGTGACATGCAAGAGCATTTTATTAGTTGAATCTATAGTCAAAATTTGACACAAAATACAATAGGGACCAATAAATTAGGACGGAGGTAGTACATGGATATTTTTACATGAAAAGGGAAAAAACTGAGGGGGCATTGTTTTAATTGTTTGTAATCACGGTGGTGGAGAATATGAGGTTCGTTCACACCACACTCCCCTTCGAGTTCTCACTCTCACTCCGACCACGCGCTCTCCCGGAAGTAGAGTTTGGGTGTGCTTCCGGGAGAGCAGCTCTGCCAGGGCCAAGTGCCAGTGCACTCTCGCCTCGCCCGGTCGCCCGTGTTGTTAGGCCATCTACTAAAGCGGACATATTATTTGTTTGTGAACACAGATGCAGAAGTCGATCGTCCAATTGCATCCATTAAAGTTTTGTTTTGTTGCCTTTATGTTTTCTCCTCTTTGCATGCTTTTTTTTAGTTGAGCCTGGTTTGAGCATATGCAGAGGAATAAAAAAATTACATTCTACAAATCGTACGGTTGCCTGCATACCGCTTGTCTGCATCATAGCACCGATTCCCGTCCCCCTGTTTGGTTGCTTGCATATAACTATGAACATTCATAGCCCAAAGTTTGGTTGTATATAGGGAAGTCTATTTAACTTGTACCCTATGTGGTGACCTCCTCCCTCCTCTCCCGCTGCTTGCTCTCAGCCTTCGCACACATGTCGAGGAGTGAGTGCGAGGTGCAGGGAGGAAGGTGGCTTCAAAATGAAGCGCACGAGCTGTACGTCCAGTGGCGGTGTCAGGATCAGAAGTCTGTGATGTCATTTCAATTCTATGATGTTAAATACATATGTTTTCACTATTTTTTTTTAAAAATACATGATTTCTACTTGTGTACATAGAATTTGCCGAAAACCTGTGTGGTCAATTGACCACACTCTAAAACGTGGCTCCGCCATAGTGTACGTCAGCCTCCACCGTGGGATGACGGAGACCGGCGACACCACAACTGATTGCTTGTCGGGGTGTGCTTCGGTGGCGGTGGCAGGCTACTAAAGTAGGTACCCCATCCCCTAACTCCGGTGAGATCCTTGAAACCATGGGGTGTTCTCCGTGGCGTTGTTCTACCAAAAATAGCCCTATTAGTGGCGCACCTGTTTTCGTTAGTAATGGCGCACTACGGGTGCGCCACTATTAACACGTCACTAGTAACAGATAGTAATGGCGCACCTCTGGTGTGCCACTACTAACTCTTAGGTGCTCCACTGGTATTCCCTCTAGGTGCTCCACTAATAGCCTTATAGGTGCGCCACTAGTAATAAAGGAAGGTGCGCCATTTGTAAGGACTGAAATGCGCCACTAGTAATGTATTTGGAAAACAAAAAAAATCCAAATTTACAGAAAACAACCTATAAGGAAAAATAATGTAAAAACAAAAAATGAAATAGAATCATAATTTTTATTATAGTAAGAATATTACGATGTCTTTACAAGTATCCAATAAAAGAAAAATTACAAGGAAATAAAAGAAAATTCTAAAACTAATCTTCTAGTAATCTTTTCTTCTTTTTCTTATACTTTATCCCTGCAAAGAATGATAGAAATATGTGAGAATGAACATTGCAGAGAAGTGAAATTGAGCAACTAT